GTTTATGGCCTTCACACGCGTTACAGTATGCTCCTATTCTTTTTATGCTCAGCTACTAAGATTTCCCTTCAGTGGTAAAATTCAATATCTACAACGGGCACAGTAAAGACGTTTACAGTAAGTCTTTCTACGACAGACCAACGGACCACGAGTGCCCCTGTCGGGCAACCAATCACGTACCACGGTATTTTGCGTCATCGCGCGTCACGGTGCACGACGCCGTAGCCAATTACCTCTGGTACGTGTCTGTACCGCGCACTTTGAATGGCTGCATCTGTATGTAGCTTAAAGTGCCATTTTTACAAGTGGACAAGGAACCATACTGTATACCTTGCCAGTTGCCACAGTTCGTAGGTTTGTCAATGTGACAGACATTGCAAGTAATCAAGTGGGAGGTTGTCCTCCCAATTCTAATAATGCACAGAGATTTGGCAAAAATTGTGTGAAAGATGACACACCTTTTTTGTGCAGTTAAATTATCATAGAAATATTATGTTGACATGGAAGTTGTTTTTTTATAATAACAGAATGACTTCACTTTTTGTATCTTTTTTTCTTTTCCTTCCTTTTTGTTTATCTCAGAAAGAAATGACTGCATTATTTACTCAACTCTGACCTGAGAATGTTATTGTTTTACCAATTGTAGCTGATCAAAATCATGAGGGTTGCAATTGGAGTGCTCTCTGTGCAATTCTGTTTTATGTTGCAAAGAAAACTTGTCAGGCCATATATTATTTAACAAAATACAATCTGCACTTTGTAAAAAAATTATTCAAGTATTGCTCCCATGGAGCAAATTTATAGATAGGGAAAAAATAACTTGTAAAAACATAACAGTAAGTTCACAGATTGTAAAAATTCTCATTATCTGTAATTATTGTGGAAACCAACATAATCTGGAAACTCATTTGAAGTCAGATCATCTAATCTTCCAGTTTGGTCAGGGTCTTTACTATTTTACTTGACACTTAATCTAAAAAGTGTTTATTGGACAAATAATAGGAATTCTTTATAGAGCAGCCTCACCACAAGAGCTGCTGCCGATTACCAAGCAGAGCAACTAACCATCTGAAAGCAAAATATTGAACTGTACAGAACCTTACGTACAAAAACTTAACTGATACTCTGTTCTATTAGAAGCTCCCTGTGTCATGGTTTGCAAAGTGTTCATCAGGATGTTCCACATTCCTAGAGACTTAAAACATTTCCAACGTTTGTTACATTCTACATTGCATGTTCAAGTTCTATATATTTTATACTTAATCTTGTTTTTAAACCAAACAATTTCAATAAAGATTCAGTGATCTTTATTTTACAGGAGATTGAGATACCTACATACAGGACTTAAATGCAAATAATATATTGTGTGTTCATTTGTTTGTTTTCTTTTTAGTTCATAATTGAAGATATGAAGCAGCAGCAAACTAACAAACACAGTAATCTGCACAGAGAAGATCAGCATATCACAATTGAAGAGCTGTGGAAATGCTGGAAATCATCAGAAGGTACTGGTTTCTCTCTTCATAATACTTAACATAATACCAACAGTCATCCTAGTGTACTTTACATAGTCCTTATACAAATTCAAGTTCACAATCCAGTCCAGAAATCTGTTGAGAGCCCTTCCACGTCAGCAAGTGCTGCTCAGCTAGCGCAATGCTAGAGTCAAGGTATTTTTCATAGCACGCTTTCCTCTTAAATTACACAATATCAGTTGGGTGCTGTTACTGTATACAGTATGCACGTATCATCTCCCAATCACATTTAATTCAAATTAAAATGTGAGTTTATAATAAGTTAAATTATTTTAAACTGCCAAGTGTTCACCTTCATTGATAAATCTTTATCCATTTCTGTGCAAACCTTTGAACTTCAAAACAAATATGCAAAACTGCATTAAACATCATTAGGAATTGGGAAAAGCATGTAGCATGTAGTGAGAAAACCTTCTTCATATGACCACCTGGGGTGTTACTTGTCTATTTACAGTATTCAATTGTGCATGTCTGAGTAAAAATGAAAATATTTTACTGTAGATGTACTACAGCTAAAAGGATTACTTTTTTCTGATACACCACAAGATTTCCAAATATATGCGATAATAGTGTGCTTTTTGAAAAACCATTTGGGAGCTGTGGGTATATTTTCTAACTGAAGAGCTGCTTTAAGTTTAATAACTGCCCCTGTTTATTAAATCTGAAGCTTTACATCAGAAAGCAATATGAATTGCTGTAAGTTGGAGACACTAAACACAACCAACACCATACTGTTACCTTTACTGTTATCTTTACTGAGGTTTTCTATGGTTTTAGCAGGTCTTCACTTTACTTTAAGGTACTTAACCTTGGGATTGCTATAATAGGCCATACACCATTTTCTTTAATTGTATAGTATAATAAAACACAGTAAAGACATGTGAAAATAGAGAAAAACACAAAAACACTTTAGGTCTATACAATCTATATCGGCTCATTGGGCCAGAGCACATTCCTGATCTCATTGTGTGAAGTGAACGGAGACAGGTCAGTCCATCATAGTAGTACTCTCTCCTGGGTGTGGTTGAGTGGACTGAAGCTGTGGAGGCAAAACGCATAGCTCAAGGACACGGGCAATGGCATCAACAGCAGATCTAAGTTTGGAATACTAACCACTGCATTTCCATACTTATTTTCTGCACAGTTCAGACTCATTTGCCATATAGAACATGACCTTTAACTCCCATGGCTTAATTTGATTTACATTTAAAAAATTAGGCACCCACGGCTGCACAGTGTGTCTGTTATGTAGTAGGAATAGAAGTACACTTTGGTCTCGATAAAATTACTTTTTTTACAAACTCACTCAGTCCTGTTCAAAGCATCATTACCATGTATTTAAGGTGTTGAAAACATTATAATGACTATATTGTTTAACAGTGATATTATGAGAAGTAATTGTGGGAGTCAGATACATCTTTACTATTTTCATTGAGAATTATTTTTTAATCTATATTGTACTTGGTTTGAATATTTTGCTTGACTAGGTTCTACATTTAAATAAAAAACTGTTTTTTAGTACATTCCTATAATTGTAATGAAAATGTCATTTATATAATGGTACAATAGTCAGTATAGTTAAAGGTTAAATGTTCATTTACCATTAAGAGGGTTATATGGTTTACAGTTTTTAGATTTAATGTATAACTTAAGTAGCCTGTGTACATTAGCAGTTCAAACTTGAGGAAGACAGTTTTCTAAAAGTTAATTTTTTTTAAATAATTGGGTGGAAAACATAGAAATTAATATATATATATACAGTATATACTATATACATCTAAAATAGAAAAAGACTTTTCTTAGGCTGGGCTGTTCTCAACTTTATAAAGATAGAATGGGCATGGCTTTAAAAGGCTTACTTTCTACAAAGACCTCTGGCCATTCTTTAATAAGGTTTAAAATGTCTTTCTTCTATATTACATGACTTATTACTGAGCAAAATACTCTCAAGCATTGTGTAGTACAGTATTTTGTTACACTAGTGGGGAAGAAGTATCAAGGGTAACATTTCAGTTCTGACAAGAACATTATCAGCAGGCATTCATGCAGTTCGCTGGAAAGAAGGGTAATTATTCCCTTTGTGAGGTGTGCTTTGAGCTCACATTGTATAGTTTGTTCAAAGCTTGTACTGCCAGCACTACTACAAGCAATTCTGAACCAGAATTAACCTATCCTTAGGTGTGTGACATTAGTATTACCAGGTTTTTGAGTTAATGCTGAGATAAAGTAATATTAGTATATTATGCAAATATATACTTGTTGACATGCACACATATTGAATTTTAAAATCCTCATTCATTAGAGTTAAAGATTAATTTATACAAGCTTATGAATTGACTTTGAAAATCACTGATAAATTATCTTACTATAAAATGGGATAATGAAGGGAGATTTATTCTTCTTGTGTTCTGTTTTTTTTGGGGAAAAAAGGATGTAGACATATGTCAAGAGAGGAAACCACCACCCTTCATCTCCCATTGGTGTCTGAATACAGATGTAGCTACAGCACTGTTACCCTATATTCAAGTTTCATATATTCCTGCAACAGAGGCCTATGTTACAGGCCATAACAGACTTTAAAGCAGTGGAGAAAATGATAGATGTTTTTTCTGTATATAAAGATATTAACAGTGCTGTTGGTGCTATAATGTCATTATATATATATATGTGCTGGTATATCATTTAGTGCACAATCTTATCATCAATGAGCAGAATGCAATGATAATAATTGGTTGTGCTATTATTTCAAAGATGCTGCAAAATAATAAAACCATGCTAGTTAATAAAATAGTGGATTGCATGTGAAATTAATGTAATACAATTCTGTTCTGTATTGACAGTTTTTAATGAATTACCCTCAAAATGTTGTGTCTCTATTGGCATTGGAATATTCTGGAAAAGTGAAGAATTAGGAAAAAATAGTCTAACTTAGTCACAAATTTATGTAAACATCTAATCACTGAGCAGCCTGTTGTACACTTTATCTGTGATACGTTTTGCCAAACTTGACCTGAATATGTAAAACGTGCAATGCAGTATAAAGATCAGCAGTAGTAACTCAGCACAGTTTAAACAGCAGACTGGACTGTCATGGAGAATCTCTGTGAAAACGATGATCAGGACCATTAATGTGGCTTAGTGGCACAGAAGAGTAGTGTAGTTTATGGGTTCTCTCACTAAACATTAGTATGTATATTTTAATTTTCTTTAATTTTGCATAAGAACATATTACAAATGGGAGGAAGCCATTCAGCCTTTCTAGCTCATTTCATCATAGGTTGCTAGTAGCTAATTGATCTGAAGATCTCTTCCATTTCATGAAACAGGGTATCAGCTTTGACAAAATGGCAGGGTTGTTTGTTCCAGACTCACACAACCTTTTGTTTAAATTGGTGCCTCCTATTCTCGGTTTTAAATGCATTTCCAAGTGATTTCTATTTGTGTTCTCTGCTTCGTGTTTCGCTGTTGATCCTGCAGAAATCCTTTAAGTTGATTTTCTTCTTTTCTGTAATGTAGTGACGAGAGTGCTTCATTTCTAAACCATATACTGTATATTTATTATATTTGAAAACAAAATGGTTTTAATTAAAATTCTACATTTTTTTATAAATCCTAAAATTGTTTGCTTTAGGACTGCTCTCCCACATTGTCTGCAAGATGTGAATGGTGTTTCAATTGCAAGAGATACTTCTTACTTATAGTTTCATCAAACATTTGTTTAGTTTTAATACTACAGCTTATTTTTGATACTTGTATGTAACTTGTATGTCTAGAATTTTATCAGTGTAGGTTTTACAGGATCTGTACAAGGATGACTACTATCGTATATCGATGATCTTGATTCCGATATCGGTAAACTAGTCATGTTTGCAGAGGATTCACAAACACTGTAGAAGCAGCAAATGAAATTCAGAAAGATTTAAATAAAATTCCAGATTAAGCAAATACCTGCAGGTAGACAAGTGCAGTGTTATGAATGCAGGCAGAAGAAACAGAAACTATAAATATAAAAGAGGAAACGCAGAGCTAGAAAAGCTTACTTTCAAGAAAAAAATATCTAAATTATGTCAACATAAACATCTTCTAGACACTGTAGGGGAGCAGTGAAAAAGGCAAACAAAATACTTGAGATTAGTAGTTGAAGCCAATAAAATTTAAATCAAGGGATGTCATGTTAAATTTGTATTATGCAGTAGTAAGGCCTCATTTAGAATATTGTGTATAGTTTTAGGCAAAATGTTAAAGAAAAGATATTGCTGGACTAGAGAAGAGCAACAAGAAAACATTCTGAAGTTTAAGGAAATATCCTACACTGATAGATCAAAGGAACTGAACCTTTGATTCATTCATTTTAGTGAATGAATAGAAAAGAGAAAACTATGAGGAGTCTGTACCTGATACAAGTATTCAGTATCTTTAAAGACTGATAAAGAATGCAGTAGATTATTTAGAACTGTGAAACACAAGCTAGAGGGAACAAGTGGAGACTATATGGCAGTGTCTTTAAAACTGGGAACAAGAGGCACTTCTTTACCTGAAGTGTTGTGGTAATATGGAACAAGCTACCCAGCCATGTTACTGAAGCCAATGCCCTAGCCTGGATTACATCCTTGAATCAATTAACTATGTACTACAAGTTTGACTCCTCTCATTTATAACCATTCTTATGTTTTTATGAATACTAACTTTAAAAGCTAAACATATAATATACTCTTTGTATCTATTACTGTTGTTATTTTTAAAGAGCTAAATATCAAGTTATCAAGACCTACCTTTTTAAATTAATGTTTCTCTAACCTTACATGTTAGGCTTATTCTATATTTAATTGACTTGATATTTGAGAATAGTCATTACATTAGCTCATCGTCTCATCAGTGAATATTATTCCTGTCTTTAGTGACTCCTGGAAGAATTGTATTAATGGCATATGACTTGTGTCCTTAAGTACTAATGTTAGAATACCATCAGGCTTCTTAACATTTATTTTAAGTGCTTCTGGTACCAGTACTACTTCTGCCTACTTTCTTCTAATTTAATATAAAATTTAACTTTATCTTTGTTCGGAGTGAGGAATGTGTCTTCTTTGACAAAATAATTAAGAGTAGTATTCCTCTCATATGTCCGGTAATTTCCCTTTCATTGACTAAGCTTCCCATGTTTATCAGATACATTGTTTTATATCTTACCTTTAAAAATGGGAATACTGAAAAACCTATAACTTCCATTACAGTATTCTTCTCTATTTCTCTCTTGGTCATTCTAATATTACATTTTACCTGGGTCTCAATTTGATATATTCCAGGTATTTAGCAGGAAGTGCTTTATATAGCTATATATTGTATATTGCCTTATTGACTTGTTTCACTTTAATGGCTAGACAGCCACTGCTTTCTAGTCTGTACTTTACTTACTCTTGGAATTAATCTATTCTGTGCTTCAAGCTGAATATCATTAAATATAGGCCAACCAATATACTAAACCCCTTTTACTTAATTAAACTCATGTCTTCTTTGTCTGCTTTGCTGAAATTGTAAACTTTTTTGAGTTCTACCTGTACAGTTTCAAAATATTGTGGAAAGCACACCATATAATGAACACAATTCCCAATTGTTCTATCACCTTTTTTTCCTTACATGTCTTGATTGATTGAAAACCATATATGAATACAGACATTTCTTTAGTGAGCTGCATAACTTAGTAAGCAAGTAATTGTTAGCCAAGTCATTGTAAATGTTAAAAAGACATGTATTAAAGATTTGTGATATTGACCGTTTTTCATCATGCTACAATGAGAGTTCCTTTTTCTTAGTCTGACTTACCTGCTCGTTTAAATTCTGTTTCATAGAAGATTTGCTTCATTCTTCATGTGATAATTTAGTATCATTCGTGTACAGTTTTGCTATTGTAGAGGATGTAAGGTCACAGCACAGCTCAGCGAAGGTTTAAAATAAGTTTTACTTTATGAAAGAAGGCCTTTTTCCAGAGAACACCCACAAAGACGCAGCGTGTATCCTTTTGTGGTGCTCTGAAGCCCAGCATTTTCAGAAAGGTTTTATAGTGTTAACACAGCTAATACTAATACAGCTCTGGTCACTTTTTATTACTACCTTGGATGGCTCTTTTTGATAAGGCTATCCCCACCATTTAGTTAATTCTGAAACAGATGCATCTTTCTGATTCTGCGGGGAGTCTTCTGATTATAAGAAAAAATATGTCTTTAGACAACTAAAAAGATATATAAACATTATAAACATTATTACTATAAATTCAGTTAAGTCACCCTTTCAGCATGAGCAAACAAGTTACACAGCACACAATACACAGCAGTGGTTTGAGTCAGACCAGATTTTCTAACAAGGTGAATTTTAATTATGTGGTGTAGTTTTAAAGATATCTTAAGGAATACTACACTACAGCATTCCATTTCTTCACGTATAATAATGTGCATTTCTCTTTAAAAAGCTATCAGCTTTCAAACTAATGACGAGAGAGCCAGATTTCTTAATGAGGTAGAATATTAGTCACACACTCTAATACTAATTGTCAGATCCTTTTTAAATCATTACTTTCTAGACTAAATTTTCTTTGGCTGATGAATAAAGGTAGGAATGTGATGAACTTTGAAAATGTATGCAGAAGGTTAATAAAGTGAATTTAGAAAGCTTAACTTTGCAAATATTGACATTATTCTAGAGATCACACATAAAGAAAACATTTTGTGTTCAATGATGCTGATGTATGGCGGTATAGAGTCCTCAAAAGTTTCTGCTGGTGTTAACATTTCTGAAAAACTCATGATTCTGTGATTTTTTGGCCTCACGTTTCAGTTGAATTCACAAATGTTGAATTATTTTACAGACTTTTCTTTCTTTGCTTCAAATTCTGGCATTTAGATCTGACAGATGCTTGCATATTTACAGTAATATTTATTTATGCAATTCCTTACTCATTAACTGTTTTGATGTTATTTTATTGATTGTTTGATCTGTATTACAGTGCACAACTGGACATTGGCAGAAACAAGGCAGTGGCTGATTGACTTTGTTGAATTGCCCCAGTATGAAAAATATTTTAAGGAGTATAAAGTAAATGGTAAAACCCTACCCCGGTAAGTGTTAAAACTATGTTTTTGACCTGTAATGTATCTATAAAGTAGACCTTAAAGTTACATGAATGAGTTATTACTAGTTATTACTAGTTATTACTTAATATCATCACTAATGAAATTTAAAATTAATGAATTTTAAATTAAAATGGTTTTGATATACATCTTAAATAATGCAACATTAGAATGCTTGACACTTATTTTACAAAATCTGTTCACAGTTTTCAGATGAAAGTTATCTAGTTTCGTATTTCTAACCTTATTTTGTTGATACACATTGAGATCCTTCAGTGACATGACGTGTCGCTAGCTAGAAAAAAGGTTGAGAGCTGTTAAAAATAATGAAATATTTTAATAACTGAAATAAAAACAGAAATACAAAATTGATGTAATTTCTAGTTTGAAGTTGCTAATCTTATAGAGTTATAGAATTTATTTCTGAAATTAAGTAATCTGTTGTGGCAAAGTTTAATTTGCTAGTTTGTAATGTAAGCAAAATACTATATTGTTGTGCAACATGAATAAGTAACAAGCAAGATTGTGTACTGTATGTTATAAAAGAAGTTCTACCTTCTGCAAAACACTATGTGGTGCTGTTGCAGAGCAGCTGACAGAGAAAGAGATCTCTCTTAACTCGCTACTGACGTCTTATGGTGATAAAACTAATGTACAGGTTGATTCTACAAATTTAATGAAATGCTGGGATTAAAAAATATTAACATGCATGATCATAGATAATATAACCTTTGGAGCATTGTTTGTTTTGTTAACTTTAATAGCGAGAATGAATTATGAAGAAAAGTGTTACTTTTCAGTTATGTTCAGCCTTAGTTTTATGAAATGCCCAGTTAAATATCTTACACTAAAATATCCAATTTTATTTAATATTCCAATAATGTATTGTATGTATGGTGATGATCTGTTTGTATACATGCATATAAACAATACAACCCCAGCACCCAACTTTGAAAGTTTCCAGTTTTTCTAATATAAACATTTGTATGATATGAAACTGAAACTAAAATTGTAGTAGGGTGTATTTGTTAAAGCACTGAAGAAAGTAGAAGCAGATTTGATTCAGTTTTATACTATAGTAAAATAGAGGTTTCCTGGTATATATGATATTGTTCATAAGTCAGATTATTTTCAGTTTTTTACAACTGTATTAGTGGACTACTAAAATCATTGCTGAAGGCACAATGTACTGTATTTTCAGGGGGCTTGAGTGTATGTTTACTTTAGGCGAAATCCACTCCACTCATATTAAAATAGTTATAGAGTAATCTCTGTTCACCATACCTTGGATAACTTTCTTAAGGAAAGACTACCATGCTGTATGAAAGTCAGAATAATATTTCATGTTTAATAAATAGCAAATAAAAGGGCACATTGCCCTTGATTTAGTGAGTCAGAGAGGGACACCTTGCTTTCATTTTTTTGTAGGATGAGGCATTTAGATGGCTATATATTTTTTACATAAACAAAAGTGAGAAGATATTCCCATGTTGACTGGCTTGATGGTGTTCTCTTTTTATTTCAGAATTGCAGCTAATGAACCTTCACTTATGACATCTCAGCTAAAAATTTTGGATCAACGGCACAGGCAGAAACTAATTCTGAAGGCCCTAGATGCTGTGTTGTTTGGACCTCCCATACGTTAGTACATATTTGATGGTTTATTAAAAATAGAAGAGATATGAGGTGCCAAGTTTAAATGAATTACTGTGTTCTAGGATATGTATTCAAAGCTGGAGCAAAGCAATTAAAGCAGTCTTGAGCTGAATGATTGTGCCAAATTAAGACCTGGAATGAGGAAATCCTTAGAAATGAACTTAGTGCTGCTACCTCACAGCTCTTTGGCTCTAGGTTTGATTTGACCCTAAAGGTTTGGGGTACCACTTATATGGGGTTTGCATGTTCTCTGTTGGCTGTGTGGAATTTCACTGGTAGCTCTGGCTTTTTCTCACCATCAAAAAATGCTGTCTTGCTTAATTGGTGTCTCTAAATTAAGTTTTAATGTTTGTGTGCCAAGTAAATGAGGGTATGAATGCAGTTTCTTTATGTAACTTAAATTGATTATAATATATATTAAACAAATATCAATTAAAGAAAACATGCTTTTGTTTTTAAGGCCCACCACATAACTGGATGAAAGATTTTATCCTGATGATTTCGATTATCATTGGTGTTGGCGGGTGCTGGTTTGCTTATGTTCAGAACAAAACCTCTAAAGAGCACATTGCAAAGATGATGAAAGATTTAGAGAGCCTGCAAAGTGCAGAGCAGAGCTTGCAAGAACTTCAGGAACGGTAAGTGAAGTTCAACACAAGCCTAACTCGTCCAATATTGTGAGCAATATTCTTGGTAACACCTAAAATTCATTTTATCTGATTAATATCAATATGCATGGTACATTGATTTGGAAGATAGTGGTAAACCAGGTTTGTGAAAGCAAGTCTCTATTGAGTGTTACATTTGTTTTAAGTGTGATAAAATAATACTGAGAGACCTTGAATCAGACATATATATAAAATAAATCTTAAAGCAGAAGCTTTCCATTGTGTTGGATTTCCCGTTTTTCCTGAAATAAGCGTTTTTTTAATTTATTTTTAAATGAGAACTTTTTTTTATTAAACTCTGCACAGTCTGCATCAGCATCTGGTTTGAGTCTTTTTATGTTTGGAGCCTGAAAAAAAGGGGGTGATCCATTTTTTTTGCCAAAGCTAATAATTAATTGCTGATTGTATTTTACTTCATTCCCTTTTCCATTTATCTCACTTAGGCTTGAAAAAGCTCAGGAGGAAAACCGAAACGTTGCGGTGGAAAAGATGAATTTAGAGCAGAAAATGAAAAATGAGATTAATGATGCCAAAAAGGAGGCACATCGCCTGCGAGAGCTGAGGGAGGGCGCCGAGTGTGAGCTGAGTCGGCTCAAGTATGCAGAAGAGGAGCTGGTCCAGGTGTGAGACATTCACGGTTGTGTTCCACAGAGTATTGAATTAGTCCCATTGTTGAGTGGTCTTTCTGCGCTTTATTAATTTAGAATTCTCAGTCCTTTTCTACTTATGCCCCCTTTACTTAGGATCTCCCAGTTTTAATCACACCTGTGTAGTGTAATGTAATAGCTCACCTCAATTGCCTTCACACTAGCACAAGATAGATGAAGGATAGATTGCTCTATTACAGAAGTTATTACCAATAACACTGTGAACGTGTTTAAAGCACAAAACCATGGGATTACTACTGGATGGCAAGACTAGGATACCCTTTTTGATTTAAACCGTCACCAGGGAAATTCTAGTCACAGTCACAGCACAACTGGCACTCAGAACAGGTTCCATTACAAGCCAGGATATTCTTATTTTCTGTTCAGCTTTTGAATCATACAAAATAATTGTTTTTCAAGGTCTTCTGAGTATTAAGTAGATTATTGATTTCATGATTCATTTCACAGTAACTGATTTGAGCATGCTATAATCCTGTTACAAAAGGAAAATTTTCCATTTGCGCTTATTGTTCTCAAATTGGTAGGTACGCATGGCATTAAAAAAAGCAGAGAAAGAGTATGAAATGCAAGGAGATTGGTCAGTCCCTGAGTCACTGCAGAAATGGCTGCAGTTAACACATGAGGTGGAAGTGCAGTACTACAATATCAAGAAACAGAATGCCGAGCTGCAGCTATCAGTTGCCAAGGATGAGGTAAGTCAGCATTTTTCTTCAAAGGAAATAGAGAATAAACTGATAAAATTAATTAAAGCCTATATGAATCTGTGTATTTGCTAACTTTTATTAAGGACCAAAAAATGATAAATTGCATAATTATTTAACTGTTTAAAGCTTTAGAAAATAGTCTTCTTTAATATTATCATACAGTATTGATTTTTTTGGGGGGTGGAGTAGTAGCTAGAATTGTTGTCTTGCAGCTCTGGGTTCAATTCCTGGGGTTCATGTGGGTTTCTTCTGGATGCTCCGGTTTACACCCACAGTCCAAAAATATACTGATAGGTTAATTGGCTTCTGCGAAAATTGGCCCTGGTGTGAGTGTATGAGTGTCTGTGTGGGTGTCCCGCAATGGGCCGATGTCCCATCCAGGGTGTATCCTGTCTTGAGCCCGCCAGGAAAGGCTTCAGCTTCCTGGTGACCTTCTATTGGATGAAGGGGTAAGAAAAGGGATTGATAGATAATTTCTGAAATAAAAAAAATATATTAATAGACCTGTGAATTAAAGTGATTAAAGACTAAAGTAAGTAGATTTAAAGAACAAATGCCAATCGTCAAATATTAAACTTTTGCAGTGTAGTCTAAAAAATACCAGTACTCTTTTAACAGTAAAATATGATCTTGTGGGATGCAGATACCACAACTGAACTAGAGTGTTATGTCCTGATTTTGATTATTAATGATGTGAAGAAAATTACTTAAAATTACACACATTTTAAATAGTTTGTATTTATCAATTTGCTTCAAAGTGAGTAATTTGGGAATTTATAATGAGATTAATTGTGAAGTGTCTTAAGTGTCTTTAAAAAAATCTTTAAATGTTACTGTATGAGAGCAAGCAACTTTATACACCTGTGCATGTTTACTTTTTTCAATTATTTATAAATATTTAAATGTAAAAGATTTATACTTTTTGAATCTAAAATAACGTGAATGTATTCTAGATTTTTGTATACAGTAACTAAGTATATGAACATTGTGGGCCTGAAATTGTTTGTTTCCACGTCCAACCTTAGGGTATGAAATGTATGTACAAGATTGTAGGTTTTATACTGCACTTGTGTAGTATTGAGCACTACACTATAAAGTATGATACAGTTTATAAAAATAACTTATTTTACATCTATTTCAGGCAGAAAAAATTAAAAAGAAGAGAAGTTCAGTCTTTGGGACACTGCATGTAGCCCACAGTTCTTCCCTGGATGAGGTGGATCACAAGATCCTAGAAGCAAAGTAAGATGAATTCTTGGTTTCTCTCTCTTTTTGTGTGTACTGTAATTTGAAAGCATTCACCACATTAATAAAAATACCCCTTTGAGATCAAAATAATATGGTTGCCGTATTGTGAGATTTTCATTTATTTTTTATTTATACTAATGTTTAGAGCATATTATTTTTGGTTTGTTCAGAATTGTTGCCCTAAGAAACTATTTTGCTCAAAGTTAAAACTCACATTATTTAGTGTAAATTGTAGACAAAATCTAAACATTAAATAATGAATGATGGAATTATACTTAATAAGAGGCATTATTAGCATTTTGCATCACTTTTCTTAATTTTAATGCCTTTTCAGTATATGTTTATTTTAAATTAATATCCTTATAATGTTTTCCAGAATTTGTTTGCCTAGGGTACAAGAAATTTAAACAGGATGTAAGTAAAGAGCAAAAGAATAGGACTTTATAAATAATGGTCTCTGAAAGTTTCAAAATTGAGCACCCTCTGAAAAAAGAAATAATTTAACCATAGTCAGTTATTAACACATTTGCGTTCCTTAACTCTTCTGCATCTTATGTCTTTAAGTTTGTGATCTTTTCAATCATAGCTATTGCAGGAGACTTTTGTTAGAGACAAACAAAATCACTGATGAAAATATTTTGATTTTGCCTAAATTGTGATTGTGTTTGTGTTGTTTGAGAACAGAAGATAAGAAACTAGTGCATGAATTATACTGTATATAACTTTGATTTGATGATTGATAAAGATTATGCAGTCTTAGATTTATAACTAAGCTACAGTATAGTTGGGTGATATTTTGAATTTTTACAGTTGGAAATGGGAATGATTGTAAATGGTATAAAATATTTAAGGAGAGGCACCATCCCACCAAACTGCAGTTAGAACTACTATGAAAATGAAATACTGCTGTGTAGATAATACTGCCAAACAATGGTAAAATTGACATTATTTGAAAATTGTGGCTTTTTTTGTTTAAAAGATTCTCAGTACATGGTCATGAAGATGTTAGCTATGTATGAGTGCCTAATTATATGAGGTTTAGCTGCAGGAAAGTGGTTTCCCTGCCCCAGTATTTGAAGTTATGAAACTGCATAATGGCCATTGATTTCTGATGCAGAGAACAAGGTTAACCCTCACATCTCTCTGTGCCAAATGAACATCAATACGCTTTTAACATTGGTTGTTGATACTCTATGTGCCAGTGCAGAATAAACAAAAATACTCACACTCTTGGAGACTGCAACAATTTAAAGTGATGAAAGATGCACACTAGGAGCAAAATGTGAATGATGCTTAAATACGGGAAACTGCAAACTAGTCAGTTGTACATATATGTTTGTCCAGAATTTAAATAAAAACTAATGTGTAATTATTATCACCTTAAACTTGTTTGTTAAATTAGAAGGAGCTTAACTAATTGTTAATCCAGTAAACTTTTTATAAAATATTTGTGTGTAAACATGAGAAATCTGGATGCTGTACCTTACAATGACCTTTTTGATTTTTTTGCCAAAAAAATGAGAATGTAAGTGATTTATTAGATGTGAAGCTTTCTGAAATAAGGACTGTGTAATTGACTGGGAGAATGTCACTTGGAGTCAAGATTAGCTTACAGACTGTACAGTTTGGTGGCAGACTGCCTGTCTGTCACAGTGTGTTATAAAGTGGTGCAAATTAGACACAGACTGCCAACACACATCGAGCATCACTGCACTTTGGATACGCTCACAGAACTCCTCAGTGGGGGTGAAAGGCAGAAAACAGTAGCTGACTACCCAAAGGCTGTCTTCTAACAAAACCAGTTTATGCAGTGTGAAACATGGCTCAGTGCAACACCACTACAACTAATAGTCTGGCTACATTTCCTGCTCACAAAAGAAGAGTTTGGATATTTAGAATCCTGTTAAAAAATAATAGACTAAAATTTCATTCCAGTAGAAGTGTTCAAAATTGAACACAATTCATGTTAAATTTATAGTTTAAAATGTGCTTTTTTGGCAGCTTAAGCAAGTTCAAGAATGGATTGATAAATAAAACAAATCTGGATTTCAACAGCTTCTCAGAACTGATTTCTGTCTTTGGTTTGGTTACAGAAAAGCTCTCTCCGAGGTGACAGCCTGTCTGAGGGAGCGCCTTCACCGCTGGCAACAGATTGAGAAGCTGTGTGGCTTTCCTGTGGTTCACAATTCAGGGTTGCCCAATCTGACAGCAACACTCTACTCCGATCACAGCTGGGTGGTCATGCCCAGGGTCTCTGTGCCACCTTATCCTATTGCTGGTGGGGTGGATGACCTAGATGAAGACACCCCTCCAATCATTCCACAGTTTCCAAGTATGTCTTTGTCAAGGGAGCAGTTTCTTTAGCCTTTCCACTGCAAAAAATAGCTTACTCTCTTTAGAAGGTCAGGTTTTATGTAAAAAAGATTTTCATAAGAAGAATGGCAAAATTTAGTGCATGTGTTATGCTTATGCTCACCCGGAAAACCTAATAATAAATATCCTAATTTATTTATGATGTACTGTATGAATAATTTGTAAGTCATTGCTGAAGACTGAAAGGTATGATGTAAGTTCATCAGTGATGTCATAGGAGACTGTGCTTTCCTGTATTGAAGAAGATGATTTGATTTATAAATCATTCAGAGCTCCAGCATATTAAATTTTGCTAAAGTAACAAGCTGCACTAAAATATGTGCAGAGCCTGATAAAGCTGTGCAAGCATTTCTTGAGTGGTGAGAATCTCATTATAGATCACAATTCAGAGTTTTTTGTTGAGTCACACCTTTTGCTTTTGACTGAGAATTTTGTGTTTAATATTTAAGCATATTATAAAGTTTATATACTGCATTATTAGTCCTTTATGATCTCTAAATAGTTTTTTTCTTCTCATTTGATGTTTCATCAAATAAAGAGATGAAGAAGATTGTTCAGTTATTCTTCCAAATATTCCAAATAAATCTCCTCAGTACATAAAAGAATCTTTTGGGGCTTATCTATTCTCCATGGATTTTGTTTTGACTGTCATTTAGAGATACTCCATATCCCATTTGTCTGTGAGAAGCCATTACTAATTGGATCTCATTTCTAATTGACTTGTTCAGACACAAGAGGCAGCCCTGCAGAGCCCTTACCCTATCAGAGGATGTACAGTATGGTACCTGGCAAAAGGATGTTTACTTTTGCCTTTTAGTTTTTGCATATAATATGTTCAGTTTGAGCATTCAGATTTTAATCACAAATATTCACTTGAAAAATGGGTAGACATTATCTAAAAAATGGGAAATATTTGGAAGGGTAATGAATGATTTTACAAGGCACTGCACATCAGTTCATTAATTGAAGTTTGTTCTTATATTTGTACAATATTAGATTAAAATGCATAATGTAAAATGTATATATGACTTAGACGTCTTAAACACAAGAGTGAGTATTATGTAATATGTGAATAAGCAATGTACGTTACTTGGAGCATACACTAGTGTTTTTTGAACTCATATTGATCAGAATCTTCAAAAACATCATCACAGCAGCTTAAGATGAACTACTGTATCCATGAGCAGTTAATGTGGTGCGTTTTAATAGCTAATACATCGTATTTGTCAACCACATCCGATTGACTGTGTGAAGAGTCCTTGTCATCAGTACTCTCTCTCAAAAATCTAAGGAGGTTATTGGTGTACTACAAAATACAGATTCATCAGAATTATTTGTTTGTTTAAACCCAAATGGACAACATGCTATTAGATCACCACAGACTTGTTTCTTAATGAAGTAGGAGCAACATTTAAACAGGCAGAACAATACTGAATGACAGGGACTTTTTTAATTTGCATCTTATGTCTTTAAATATTTTTGCTGGTATGAACACTTTGAAGCGTGACTGTTGAGTGAAATATCAATTAAAGTTATAATGTATTTTTTACAGCCTGTGAAATCCAAAGCAGTGTCAAATATAACTCCTAGCACGTTTTGGAATTAGCACTGTAAGAGAGAAATCATGAGAAGGACTAAATATACTATATGCTAAATAATTGTATGCAGTCATTCAATTTTCTTCTTTGGTTACAGCACCACTATTAAAGGCTGGATCTTTAGCTAGAAGTAGTAGCCTGTGTCGCTCTCGGCGGAGTGTGATGAGTTCAGCTCCACAGCCCATCCTGCTCTCCGCAGACCCTGACCTTCTGTCTATGGCCAGCAGCCCTCTAACACAGCATATAGAAGAAGAGGAGGACCCCATCTACTTCAGCGCGGAGAAAAAAATGTATGTTCCATGTTGAATTTAATATTTTGAATAGAACTCTTTTTCCCAAGGCAGGTTACCTACAATTAATCCAAACAATTTTTTGTCAATGTTTAGATCATCTGCAATAGAACAAATGTTTGGATTGGTAGTGTTACGTCCCAGTGTGTGTTCTGTGTGTGTTTTTTCTATGTTCCACACTGCTGACCCTTGATTGTTCTCCCTTCCCCATTGGCCCACCATCACTCCACTGTTTCAGTATGATGTCATCATTAATTAGCTCTCAGCCAATCAGAACACATCTTATTCACTATTTAACATGGAGGCTTTCAGGAAGAGGGGGCCTTTTGTTTGACTTCGGTCCCGTTTGGTTTTGGTTATCGCTTCGCTTCTTGTTATTGCTTCAGCTTCGTTTGTTTGTGTGTTCATCCTTGTTTTGTCATTACCTTGCCCCAGTTCAACTTTTGTGTTCTTTTGTACCCTGCTCCTGTTTATTACTCTTGTTTTCCCTTATTTGTCTTCCTGGTTCACTTGTGTTTTTGTGTGAACTTTTGTATTTAAGGTTAGTTTAGGTTGTTGGGTACACTTTACACACTTAGTTGACTTTGTATTAGTACACTAGTTTAGTACGGGTGAGTGCCGTTTGTCTTGTATGGTTTTGGGTAGTCAGTGCAGGTTAGCTAGGGTGTTGAAGACGCCGAAGACCGTGTGTTTCGGGTTTTCTTTTGTAGTCAGATTAGCTTTTCCTCACTGTCCTAGCCAGCTCCATTTTGTTTGTTATTTTCTTTTCTTTGGCACCACTCTAGTTCCTTACCCTTGTTATCACGCTTCCTAGTCCCTTACCAGAATCCACTTGCTTCCAAAAGAATTATCCTAAATGTTACACCCCTTTTCCCCTAGACACTTGGGGTCGTAACAGTAACATCTTTTAATGGGTATTCCTGTATATCTTCCAGAATTGGAAGTTCAGTTCTGTATTGATTTAACTAAGTACCATATTACTTTAACAATTATACTTACATAGGAAAAAGTAATAGGTTTATTCCATGCTGAAAAGAGAAGAAAGAAAACACAACATTTCGACTCTGGAGCCTTCTTCGGGTGTGACTAACATGCAGAACAAGGACCATGTACTGTATGCCGTCCTCCAAAATGGACACCATCAAGCCTTTCACCTTTTACACATCACAGGTTCCACAGTGCCTTACAGGAGAGTTAGCTTTGGCTAGAAGAGTGATCAGGTTCTGACTGACAAGAATTCAAATTCATACAAATTTGGGCTGGACAGGTCTTCTGGGATTCTATTTTATGTCAAGCTGGGGACATCATGGCTAAAGTCAAACCTGCCTGAGATGCCATAGTGACTTTAATAATTGTGTGCTATTTCTTATATAATGCCAGTCAGACCTGCATAATGACACAGACTTAAAAAAGAACTAGTCACTATAGGGCTCAACCTTTGCTCCTAGCATTTGGGACCTAAGAACGCTTTAATTTTCTTAAGGCCAACAGTATGCATTTATCTTGTTAAGCACATTTATTTTCAATGAATAGTTTTCTCTTTTGTGCATATTAAAAATGTTTTTTTTTCCGTTGCAGCGATCTTCAGGACACATGCTCAGACTGTGATTCTTTAAACTCCTCCCTGGGAAGAAAGCAGTTTGCTAATTCAGAAGTGCCAGAAACTCCCTCAAGGAAAATCTCCAGGGATGAATTATTCGATCAGGAACTGTGTGCAGCAGATTCATCAACATCCTCTGATCAGCAGAAAGGTTCTCCTGACTTGATGGCTGTTACAGAATCGCAAAGCATGGTCTTTAGTCCTGTCAGCAAGATGGTTTACAATGGTATCTTAGAAAAGTCCTATAGTATGGGCCAGTTGCCCAGTTCAGTGCCAGTCTTAGAAAACCGTTATCCTTCTCTTACTTCACTAGATATTGAGGGCAGAGGAGCAAAGGAACAGAAGATGCACAGCATGGCCCAAGACTCCTGTGAGAATGGCGACAAGGTGAAGAAGCCTTCCAAGTTAAAAAGTTTATTTAAGAAGAAAAAATAAAGGAAAGGAAGTATTAAGAGGATTGTCATCGAGCCAAAACATGATTAAGACTTTTTTAAAGGATTGTAACTATCTGAATTCCCCAGAAAGGAAGCCTTTTGGAATGCCTCTTTATTGAGTCGTAGCCTCATAGTAACAAACAGAGGTTAAAGGTTATCCAACACCTAGAAATCAATGAAGAGTGTGGACTGTTTACTGTCAATTTTGCTTATTTATTGTTTTTTTCTAGGTACCAGTAGATACAAAAGCCACTTTTTAGAATTCTGGTCTTTAAGCTTTAACAGAGTTCTTGTTTACTGAAGCTAAAAAGCTGACATATTGGACTAACGAACCTGCAAGAATTATCCTGCTAATGTTTGTTGCACTACCACTTTCCAATCAGGGAAAGTGCCTCTGCTTGCGGGATTAACAATAAGATTTCTAGAAGTACAGAGGAAAATATAAAGTTTTTACATATAACGTTCTATTAGAGGTTTTTAAATAGAAATAGAATTTCTATTGGTTGGGTTTCATGAGGAGAGACTGGTTTTTATCAAAATAGAAATTATAGTTTATCCCTTTTATGTGCTTTAGACAATAAGGGCTCTGGAATAAAATAATTTTAATTTCCAGGGCTGGGTTCTCACTGTGATTTAACTTCTTCTACAACTGTCCCATCCCAAGTGAATAGCTGACAAAAGAATACTGTTTTACTGCTTTGATTCTACAGGTGGTGGAATTGCAGCCTGACAGGTGTTTTTTTTAAGTCATCATTGACTTGCTAAGCAAAAAAAAGAATTGTTTAAGAAGTTTAAGGTTTTTCAAACATTTGGTGTGTGAATCTTTGTACTGTAGAATAAATGACTAAATTGAAGACAATATGCTTTCTCTGGTGTTTATTTTCAATTTCCTCTAACCTCTGGTAAAAAAGAAAGAATAATAATAATACAGGAACAGTTTTATAAAGTAGGACAGTTGTTTTTGCTTTTATTGTGCAGTAAAATTAGTTAATGAAATACCAATTCTACCAAGTCAACTGGAATGGGGACAGTGTGTAACTTAATTGTTTTTTGTGACCCTAAAATTAAGTTTAGAACAACCATTCTCCTCAACAATCCCTGCCATTGGTGGTACCCCCTCCCCCATCCTTTGTCACCAGAGTATCCCTAAAAAATGGGATTCGAACTATAACAGAAGCACTGAACAATAAGGATTTTCCTACGTCAACTGCAGCACTTCAAATCTTCCCCACCCTCCAGAACTAAGGCACCCAGTACTGTGTCATTATTTTTTTAGCTTTGTTGTGACCAACCAACAAGATGCATTTCTGCTATTTTATTTGTAGGGCGCAAACCCACATGAGCCCGAAAGCGCTACATTATTAATAATATCTTCCGTGTCGTATTAACATTGGAATGTTCTTTTTTACAAGTGTAAAAAGAGGTGATACACAGCGTGTCTCCTCTATAACTCTTCAGTTTACAGAGAAATTCCACCAGAGCTTCACAACATTGTCCAATAATACTCTTCTTGTGTCTAATTTTTAGTTAAGCAGGATTTGAGCTACAGACCAAAACAAAAAACAGGATCCACTTTTTTCTGTCTCTTTCTCACCCGCTGTAATGCGGGTGTTAATAAAACATGTTTACAAAGAAATTGGAATACAGTAATACTACCAGCTATATAGATACATATATTTATATATTAAGATGCTTAAATTAATATCTTTATTAATTTCTTTAGATGCATGATTCCATATTATATTCCCTATTATAAAACAGATAATTCCGGTTCTGAAATCTGATTGGCTGACACATTTTCGAAGCCGTGTTACTGTATATTCTCTGATATACGCACACCCCGGAATTTTGACATTTTGCTGTGTGATAAAGAAATTTTAAAGACTACTTCTTAGTGTAGATAAGAAAGCGTAGATAAAAAAGCTTGGATTCTCATGTATCTGATACGCGTATCTTTTTCTGCTGTCTTTGTTGTGCTCATGAGGATCCTTGTGATATTTTGAGCTCTTGTTGAATGATAAGTGTCACATAGTTTAAATCATTTTCATTCTTAGAAATTATGAAACTCTCAGCTAAAAGCAAGGGAGATTATTTCTGTTATAGTGGACATAAAAATTAAAGTTGGCTGCGGTGTTACTGGAAACTCATTTTAACAACAAATCACTGGCATTATATCATAGAAGGCACTGAGACCAGCATCAGTGGGAGCACTCCCGCAGTGAAAAAGAAAATGCCTGACGAACTAGGGATTGGACAGTTTTTCAGTGCTTGTACGTTCGATGGAAATGTTCAAATAAATGTGCTAAAGAAATAAACAAAAAACAAGTAATTTATTCCTTTATCATATTGGCTAGCTAATGTCCTCTCTTTGCAAATGTTACTTGTGGCTGTTTTTCTGCGTTGCGTAGCAACGAGGGACTATATTCTCAGGCGGAGGAATGTAAACAGCTTGATTTTCGTGTTAAATACATTTTTCAAATTAAAATTCATTCTATACAACAATCTCATATTTGGGGACCGTTTTATGAAAGCAATAAGGCACTCGAGGCCTGTGCTATATTGCTTAAATAATTAAATTCTAAAAAGTATGAGTTTCTTTTACTGCGACAAAAAGCAAAGTATTCATGGAAAATGTTAATCACTTAGTTTAGTTGTAAAATTCCATATAAATATTCAATACTAAGTGGATTACAACATGCACAGTAAAGACATTAAATGATTAAATCTTTTCACAACCGTTCAATGCACCACGAGTGCTGCTGTCGGTCATTTTGGCCAGCCAGTCACGTACCGCGGTATGACATAGGTAGTTGCGTGCCGTACGGGTTTGTACCGCGCACTTTGAATGGCTGCATCTGTATGTTTTGTTATATACCCTACATAAGTTAAATTTGAATACAATAATTACATATTCTAAAAAAAAACATCTGTTGATACTATAATGAAGGATGTATAATAGGTGTAGCAGAGCTAGTTCGGACACGGTCACGTCATCGCCCTACCTGTGCGTAGCACGGACCTCAGCTGGCTTGGCTGGGGGGATGTCTCCTTTAGCTTATGCAGCTGGTTCCCTGTTGCTTTACGCCAAAGACCCGGGTTCGCGCCCCGGGTGTTGCAGAATGAACCGGTGGGGTGGAGTGGCAGTGCACAAGCCCGTGTGGAACCACACGGGTCAGATGGGCAATTTATAATAACAAATATATTTCTATGTATTACAAATCATGTTATGTTATTTTTTAAAAATTACACTTGTTTTTTTAAACGATTGTTCCATGTACCACTGAATTCAACAACAAAAAATTGTTAGCATTAAGCATTTACTGTGCAACCAGACCCAGAAAAGGCTGTTATAATTGACATGCTTAGTATGGCTGTGTTCATTCTCAAAATATTTAAAATATTTTATAATGTCCATTATACAGGGTAGTAACACCTTTTAAATGCTTTTGGCCAGTTACACTCACTCCAATTTTGGCTAAGTGCTTGGAACTAGCCATCACAATCCCATACAATTTGTCTATAAAGGACATAGGGAGACCAAGGATGTGACTGTTACTCTAGTTGATGAAATAGCAAGGCACCTTCAACACCCAAAGACATTCGCACATGTTCTTTTTATTGATTTTAGCACATCTTTTAGCTATGTAAATTGACATTCCTTTAGAAAAACTTCTTAAACTTAATGGCTGTCTTATTCTTTGGATTTTTTTTATGCACTCTCAGAGGGTCCTGTTAAGTGGGGGTATACTCAGATGAGTTGGTTTTATGTACAAGGGGGAACCTCAGGGCTGTGTCTTGTCATAGTTGCTTTTTTCAATCTGTAAAAATGAGATGTGTTTATAGTACTAATGTTAAAAATGAGAAGACTATCTTTGACCTTAATCCCATATAAGAGGATGCATATTTTGACCAGGTGAATGGTTTTCAAAACTGGTGATAGACAAGTAATTTGGAAATGAATGTGACCAAAACAGCTTATTATAAAACTTATTTTACAACTAAACATAGAAGAAAACTACAGTTTCCACCTGGTCATACTTAATAATCTGCTTATGGACAGAGTGGAATAGTCTAAATATTTAGAATTTGCAGTACTTATAATGGAAACTATGAGTATATAATGAAGAAGGCCAATCAGGGATTGTTTTTAAATTAGAACACTAAGATCGTTTGGCGTTAGCCAGCATTTCCTTGAGGTGGCATTCAACAGCCTGGTAGTAAGTGTTTTACCATTTAATATAACAGTATGTTACAGTTACCTGAGTATGAAGTGTAGAAACATACTTTCTAGAATAGTTATGTTACGCCAGGCTGGGTCCGAGCTCTCAGCTCCTGGTCTCCTCAGAGTCAAATTCGCAGTCCAGATTCACGCACCAAATTTGACAAGCTCAGCCAGTGACCTGCTGCATATTAATGTTAATGAGCACAGTATTTAAGGTCCACAGCACCTTTGCTCAGGGCTTGGTTGTTGAGCTGCTCTCAGTCTCGCTCTCTCCTGATCTGTGAGTTTTGTGTATCAGTTGCATCCTGTTTTCTGGCGAGCCTGCACAGTCCCTCTTCTGTTCCTGGTGTAGTTCATGCTTACCTGGTGGTCTGTGCAGTCCTGTTCCTGTTTCCTGGTCCAGCCTTGCTTCCTGATTCTACTTCCTGTCAGGTACATTGCCCCCTATGTTTCTTGTACGACCACCTTCTATCAGTAAACCAGCCTGTGTCATATTGATCTTTATATTACTTGCCAGCTGCCTTGTCACCCTGCAACTCACAACTGGCAACCCACTGAAGCTAAGCAGGTGTGAGCCTGGTAAGTACCTGGATGAGAGACCTCCTGGGATAAACTAAAGGTTGCTGCTGGAAGTGGTGTTAATGGGGCCAGCAGGGGGTGCTCACCCTGTTGTCCATGTGAGTCCTAATGCCCCAGTATAGTGATGGGGACACTATACTGTAAAAAGGCAACGTCCTTGGATGAGACATAAAACTGAAGTCCTGACTCTCTGTGGTCATTAAAAATTCCAGGGCATTTTTTGAAAAGAAACCCCCAGCATCCTGGCCAAATTTCTCATTTGCCTTTATCAATCATGGCCTCCTAATAATCCCCATCTATGAATTAGGTTCATCACTCTGTTCTCCTCCAAACTAATAGCGGATGTGTGGTGAGCGTTATCAAAACCAGGTATTATGGCTGTACATTGGTGGTGGTGGAGGGAAGTCCCCATTACCAGTGAAGTGCTTTGAGTGGAGTTGCCAAAAAAGCACTATATAAGTGTCAGCAATTACTCAATGACCTACCTTCTATCTGGCTGCAGTGTAAGACTTTACTATTGCAGGGAAGATGATTGGCAAGCCAAAAAAGCAGCGGGGGACATTTTTGATAGAGTGCTGCATAAGATAGCAAAAAGTATCATTAAATACACCTCCCATCCTCTGAATTGTCAGTTTGCAATGTTTCCATCTGGCCAAAGTTTCAGGATCCCTAGGACTGTCAGAAATATGTATGAAAGGTCCTTTATACCATACACTAGTTGTTAATTATATGTTATTTGTTTGTACCATGTATTTGCATTATGATCAGTTTGATTTTATTGTGAACGTATTATATCTGTGTATTTTACTTGTTTTTAAATTCAGTGTATTATTTCTACAAAAATCCACTCCTATTGGACAATAAAGTTAATCTAATAATTATAGAAATATTTTGCAGTGATTAATGTATAAATAATACATGTGATTTCAAATATAATACCCCTTAACATTTGTCACTTCTTTAACTTCTAAAACATAAGGATTCAGGACTGACCACTAGAGGACAGTAAGTGATTGTAAAATTGCAGTTCTGCTTTTGTTCAAGGTGTGTATGCATAT